AAAAAAAAAAAAAAAAAAAAAAAAAAAAAAAAAAAAAAAAAAAAAAAAAAAAAAAAAACGCGGTCGCGGGGTTCCGAGAGTTGATGCGTCCTTTTGATATAGTTCGCTGCAGTGTCGACGCAATGTTTGATTGCTCGCTTCGAGGGGACCCTTTTTTGATCGTTTGTTTGTTTTAATAGCAGATCATGTGGTAAGATGACTGTACAAAAGAATCGACTCGAAAGGTTTCGAGAGACAGGAGCTTGCGGAAGTACTACAGTAGTATAACTTGATGTTTTATGCGTACAACATAATATAGGGTCGAGGGTAATAACCGCGAGTCGCGCATCGACGATACCCTTTTTGCCCGTTTACGTGTACTTGATTTGTTGTTGTATTTACAATATTATTTTTGTATCTATAATAAGTGATTTATCTTTAGTTTGTTATAACAGTATAAATATCTACGGAAAACAAAATTTTTTTTTTTTTTTATTTACTATACATACAAATGTATTTTCAACTGTAAAAAAAAAATCCGTTAATAAAGCTATAGGCTTGTTTTAGTCCTCGAACGATTTATTTGAGGAGTACAATTTTTTGTTTTCAAAATAATCAAAGTACCACAAGTTACGCGAACCGTAATAAAAATCGTTATCGTTTAAAACTGCACGTAATTTATAAAAAATTAATTAAAAAAATTTTCATTGACCTTATTTCTAGCTGTTAAAGGAATAAAACGGGGGGTCAACTAAATTTAATTCCAATACAATACAAAAAATGTTTCTCTGCTGTGTGTTTATAGCTCACTGTCTTACTGATATTTCATGTTTTATGAATAGATGTACACATACGCAAAATACTTTATTTTCTTTTTAAATTTGTTTAATCAAACGGTGTTCGAGTGAAAAATAAATATACTCACTCTGGACCCAATAGACGAATCGAATTTGGTGATGGAAAGAAAAAGGTAAAATCACCGGAAGGCAAGAAAAAAAAAGATCACGCCCTCGTATCGTTATACAATGCAATAAAGAGGAGAAAAAAAGTCCAACGTTTGCTTCGGTCCCATGGCGTGCACGTGCGAGGTCAGCGGGCCCCGTCTCCATCGTCTACTGCGCCTTGATTGCAAAGGAAATGAGATCAAGTTTAAGTGGTTGTATATGTGTACTGGTCGCACGGGGAGAAAAAGAGAGGGACCTGCCGCTGGGACTACGCTCTCCTATAACCGACGCTCTGGACGTGTTGTCTCGCATTATATGGCCAGCAGCCGAGACAGAGAAGGTTGAGAATTTTCAGGGGAAACTAAATGAACTTAGGATAGCTGGTGCTGATGGACAAAAATTTCAGCTCTCGATGACTCTCGGCTTGTTTTTCCCTCGGAAAAATTTTTGTTTTTTCAAGAATACGGTACGGAATGCAAGGAGTAAAAAAAAAAACTGATTAATTTTTCAACAATCGGGAATTTAAAAAAAAAAAAAACTATTTTATNTTCGAGAAGTAGTTTATTGGTAAAAAAGCTCATACCTTTTACAAATTTTATCATAATATGAGGTGAAACAAGCTATATACGAACGGAGATATCTGTATTTTTTTGTATTGGTTTGTGTTCTTGTAAAAAAAAAAAAAAAAAAAAAAAAAAAAAAAAAAAAAAATGTGTACTTATACGGACGACGCGAAATGTCTCGATTTCTGTATACTCATTCCATGCATACCATGTCAATACCATACTGTAATGTGTACTTTGTCTTCTTTTGTCTCGTCCCAAATGGCTTCGAGTGTATCATTATTTTTTCATAACTTGAGATTTTGATGGATATTTTGCAACACAATGTCCTTGTATATAAATGACTGTGATCACATTTTTTGATCAAATGAAATAAGAATCGTTTACATAAATAATCATAAAGACAGTCTAGACTTGTAGTAATATAATGATGGTTGTTGTACCGTTGTAAACACGTGTAATCCATCGATAAGATCATGAAACAATAGTTGTTGTTTTACTCTCTTGTAATTAAAGACCGGGTGATTTCTATAGAGTAAAGAAGGTCACGTCGAAAGCGTAAAACTATATCAACAGCACTTGGTAAATAAAACATTTAATGAAACTGTCCAGTTGCAGTTGGTCGTGTGGATGAAGCAGAGTATACGAGTGATGAACAAACCTGAACTTTGCTGGGCTCGGATGTAACGGTGCCATCGTCGACAATGCCCTGCTCCATGACCTTCTCGAGGAAGCCGGCGACTTTCTCCTCGTCGTGCGCCAGCTGGCTGCCGGCCGTCTCGATCAGCATGTGAAACTCGTGGCCAGTACCGAGCGGACTCCGCAGCCCCAGCGCGTCGTTAATGTTGTCCATCGACGCGCGGTCTATTAGCTCGCACGACGACAATATTTCGCCCAACTCGTGCTTGGCCAGCTTGTACGCCCTCAGTACGTTGTCGAAGCTCCTCAAACCTGGTGTTTGTTTTCTTTTGTTTTCATCATCATGTCTATAGAGGGTTTTAACTTGCTTTCGGGCAAGATTTTTCTTTTTTTTTGTCATTTCTCCGTAGAGAGAGTTTTGTAAAATTTTGGTTTTTTCAACGGTCAAGGACAGTTGCAATTGTGATTTCGTCAAAGCCCCCGCGCAACTACCCATTGCATCTTTCATTTTTAATAAATATATGTTACATCTGTTACATTCGTAATGATTACTGGTAAAAAAAATTTAGATAGGCGTAGTTGAAGATAGTAAGAGGAAAGCTGTATTTATAGTGATGATTTTTTTCATCACCGTGTACTTGATTCGGTCTAAATTTGACGATCAGGCTGTTTGAGACTGTTTGTATAAGTAACAGGGGGCCATTAAATGTATATTTCTAAGGCACGTGTATAAAATCATGTAAAATCCCTGGGATTAAAAAAAATTCTCATAAAGTACAATGATGGAAGAAAAAAAAAAAAAAAACTGTAATCCGCTCGCAGCCTAAAAAGTCAAAAAAGCTACACTTTCTGCTAATCTGTTCCCCTTCGAAAAGGGAATGAAGGAAAAAATCGTTACCCTCACGAAAAGAAAAAAGACCCTTCCCCTAAANCTCGCATTATATGGCCAGCAGCCGAGACAGAGAAGGTTGAGAATTTTCAGGGGAAACTAAATGAACTTAGGATAGCTGGTGCTGATGGACAAAAATTTCAGCTCTCGATGACTCTCGGCTTGTTTTTCCCTCGGAAAAATTTTTGTTTTTTCAAGAATACGGTACGGAATGCAAGGAGTAAAAAAAAAAAACTGATTAATTTTTCAACAATCGGGAATTTAAAAAAAAAAAAAACTATTTTATTCATCATTTCAGTATTTCGTTACGTATGTAATTATATGTATATATATATTTTTTTGTCAGATCATTTGGGTATTTTTGGTCGAAGCACAAAATTAAAAACTTTTTTTGTTTTCATGTACAACTTACTAAATTAATTTAATTACAAATACAATGTGTAAATCAATTTTCATAGTTAAACTAAAAAACTAAGGAAAATAATTCCGTTTCGTCATCAGACTTTTATATTTTAATACTTTACGAATTATAGCTATCAATTTTAATCGACTGAATTAAATAATAATTGCGACTACATTTTAAATTAAAATGCATAATCCGTTTGTTACCTGTTATAAAAGTCATGTTTCATAAATGTACGACAGTCAAAAAAAAAAAAAAAAAGTCGAGCTGGTGATGTTGGCTCGAATTATAAACGTATACGTAATGATACAAATATTATGATCCTGTCTTTGTATANAAACATTTATTTCAAAATTAATGCTAAAACCTAATGATTTCTATCCTATACACCAATTATAACCAGGTGTTTAGTGTTTTCTCAGCGCTTCAAGTTTTTTGTATAGTTCTATCATAATAGTACCGTAACGGATTTTGCTTTTCACGTAGCAAGTTCACAAGATGTCACACAATTTACATTATCATTACATGATTTCATGTTTTTGTTTCTCCTCTTGTACAACGTATATTACAATTATTTAATCATCATAAATATTAATATGTTCTTAAAAACGTTAATAACACGGCGATCCATCGCTCAAACGAATCAGTCGTCTATTTTATTATTCACTTTAAATAATATCTTTCGCGTGTACATATATATATATATGTACGGTATGCACATAAAAGTCTCGTCGTCGAGGTAACAGTTACGCGCGGCAGTAGGATCAATGTCAATTCGATAACATACGTGTTAATATTTTGAATTAATAAGTTAGATACATGATACAATAGTATAAAATTCAAGCGTGAAACAATATAACNTATCTGTTTGTGTTCGTTTTGTTGTTTTCTCTCGCGGAAAACATACTTTTATTTACTAATATGAAAAAAACTTTTTTACAATACACGCTCTTTATCACGCAAATTCATTTGCATTTTAAACTTCATACTTTGCATTACTCTTAAAGCTATTTCATTCACTGAAGAGCTTTTTTGTTAAAATTGTTTTTAAGACAGTACCTTAGATGTCCATATCACATTAACGGTAAGTGTCAAGAGGCTCGCTTATCTTTATCAACGATAGTTTAAACAGCCTCTGTGAGGGTGCCTTTTGTAGCTTGCACTAATTCGTTGAAAGAAGTCTCCATGCAATGTCGTAGTTCTGCGTAACTAACGATAAGCACACTCTGCTCGTCTCTAGATATTAAACAAATCTGTAGGAGAAGTATAATTTATGAGTAATGCGCTATATATATAAAAAAAAAAAAAAAAAAAAAAAAAGTGTTAGCAAACCTTATCGGGTGCACCGACGTCAAGTTTATTCAAACATGATACAACATGGGCTAAATCTAACCATGGCCTTCCGTCAGCTGAGACCTGATGAAAAACGTAATCTCTAAACAATTTGAGCATGTAACGATCACCAGTCTCAGACCACTGAGGGTCCATGTTGAGCTCAGGTCGCTCATTAATAGTGGCCAATTTAACAATCAGTCTAAAGAGCCTTCCATTCTCAAGCTCTTTCGTGAGCTCGTTCTCAAGCACATCTGAGCAGAGTTGTGCTGCATCCAATTGGGTGTAGAAACGCGCCCCAATCATCGGCATGAGATCTGTTACGCTCTTTCGTGCTTGAGTGGATAATAAATACCTGGAAACAATAAATACATCAAAAACAAAATTTTTTATATTGGGATCCAAGCAAAAGATATTTGGTGAACAAACAGTATAAGATTTCGGAGATCAGTGGAGTAGGAGCGTGAAACGAGCTCGAGAGATGCAGACACATTGTCACGGTGCACGGCAATTAGGCTGCGGCAAGCTAATGCTAACACGAGTTTTCCAAGAGCTATGAGATCCTCTTGCTGATAGATCGACATTGCGCTCAAAGGATGGGATACGTTGACATCCAAGGTTACGATGTCCGGCACAGCAGCACCGCTCAAGCGTAATCGTGTGCGAGAAGTCAATAATACTTTGGTTGGATCCAAGCATCTGTACGCAAGGCCTGAGGAGAACAAATTTTATATTTCATTTCAAACTGTACCAAGTGTGCCTGAATCTATCTATTTTTAATAAAGGTGGATACATACCAGCAGCATGAATTACGCGAAGAGCTGCAGTAAGCTGAATAATGTAGCTCCAAATGATGCTTTCTGGTAGCATACTGTTGTGCTGTTGTCTGAGTATTGTGTTTTTTGTATGACTGTAAGGCCGTGGAGCGTTGGGATCTGACGAAAATGGATCTGTGTAACCATTAAGTTCCGTTGGAGAAAAATGTCTATTTAACAGTGTTTCTGATCCAGGATGGTAATCGTATACAAATACCATAGCTATAATTATAATAATGTATTAATTTCAAGTTTTGAGCCTACTTTTATGATGTAGTTAATGAAAATTACATTCAAGTATACTAACAATTATCACCAAATGCTTTTGTAGTAAATACTTCTCTTAACTGAACTATATTTGTATGTGCCAATTTCTTCCACATATCAACAATAACCATACATTTTGTGTTTGTTAACCTAAATTCTGTAAATGAGTTACAATTATACGATTGCGATATCCAAACATAAACCCAAACAGCAATTTCTACAAACCATGAATTCTTCTTAAACAATATTTTGATCCATTTTTAACATTAGTAGCTTTGTATGTTGATGATTGATAACCCAGTACGGCTGAAACAGGTTTGTTTAAAATTTCAATGGGAACGATATCCTGGTAATTTTCAACCTCTGCAGGTATATCTGGAAACTGTGCAAGATCTGGCTGTGCTAGTGATAGTGCATTTTTTTGAAGAATTTCCATTCGCAGAGTTTCGGGAATAAAAAAACTTGGAGCTTGTGGTATTTGAGGAGTAGTGGCCTCTGTGCTATTGGATGTTGATTTTATCGGCTTCAACGGTTGTAAATACGATGGTGTACCAGGATAGATGTAGGCTAATGGCTGAGGTTCAACATTACCAACCTACACAAATAATTTAAAATCAATAAATTTATCAAATTACATTGAACCACTGTAATTGCGAGGAAAAAGAAGAGCACGAAAAAGATAGATTACTTATGGTTCAACCAAAATGAGAAATTTTTTACTTACAATTTCACCTCCATCTTCTACAACATTGAGGGAAGGATCAACAGGATTTTGAACATAATAGTATGTTGTACCTCCTACATTTTCTTGGGAATGATACGAATTGTTAAATACATTTGGTGATGAGTTATTGGTATGCGCAGGACCTCTGCTTGGTACGAATTCTTGACCAGTCGTGGCTTTTTTAGACCCATCCAAACTCAAGTTGGATAGATGCTTTGTCACGTTGGCTGTGTTTATTGTATTTATAGTAGCCGTTATCATAGGACCTGATGAATTTTGACGATTCTGAAATAAAAGTAAACAAACGTTCATGATTGCTCTAAAAATATAAATGAAATTCTACAAAACAATTGGCTTTTAATACACGAATGAAAGTTGTATATCTGAAAATTGTTGACTTAATAAAACGAATGTGCATAAAAGAAAATAAATGATAGCAAAGTAGACTATTATAATACCATGTAAGTGGCAAGTTTTGACTCCAGTGGAACTCCATTTGCCTGAGGTGTATAAGTAACATACATCGAAGGATCCATGATTCCTTCGAAAGCTGCATCTACAATGGCTGCAATGATAATTGAAAAATTATCAATAAAATCACAATATTATCACTTAATGTTAAAAATAAAATTTCCATGAGTTTGGTAATAGTTATCAAAATACACATGCATACAAAGATCCTATTTGGACATGCTCTATAAAAGCAGTTGAAAACCAGACATCCTTTGTCTCTTCCCTTATTCAATCGGCAACAAAAAAAAAAAAAAAAAAAAAAAAAAAGTCGAGCTGGTGATGTTGGCTCGAATTATAAACGTATACGTAATGATACAAATATTATGATCCTGTCTTTGTATAATCATGATGAATGAATACGCTTAGATTATAGCTTCTACAATATAAATATACACATGGACATTAGAATGACAGAGGATGTGCACTTTGGTCCACCCACCTTTTCCTCGATTGTTCCAGCTATACTTATCTTCGTACATATACCGCACGTGCATGTGCCGATACTTCCGATTGTAACACGTATCTATACTAAGTAAGTACACTCTTTGACTTAAAAAAAATGATTGACTATTTGAATGTACCTATACATTACATAAATACGCGTGGACGGGATGAAAAATAAATGTCCCTTGCCGTCAACCGAACGATCAAACGCGTGGGCATGAACGTCCTCACGTGTGAGTTTTATGGGTATACCTATTACATACCGGCCAATTGGATTTTCTTGACGTATACATGATGTATGCGCATACGCGCGTATTAAAAGTCATTGCTCGATTCCCGCGTATATCCTGCGGGCTGTTGATCTGTACACGCGGGTAGACAACGTTGTTACTAGCGCAAATTATATAATTGCCGTCTGTCCGCGACAATTACGCGGCCATCTTCCAATTTCCACGAGTAAGAGGACAAAAAACATATGACTGAGAGGAGTATAAAAAAAAAAAAACTTTAAAACAGAGTTGCAACCGTGTACAAGTCGAACGGACGGAAGGAGGCGAATCGGTAAGGTGCATTCCACGACTGCAGTGTGATACTTGATTTGCAATATTCCTTGCAATGTAGACAGGCTGGAGTCGTTCTTTAGAATATGTGACGTGTGTCTTTACAGGATCGGTCGTAATTTGTAAGTGTTTTTTTTTTTTTTTCTTTCTCGCTAATTCATTCATCGGTTCATTTACGATCAAACGAGCGAGTTGGAGCAACAGAGCTTAACATTAGTTTACATTATAGCTCCGTTACTTCAAAGTATCAAAGGGATTATTATGATAATTTTTAAAGCTGCTCGGCACGTATGTGGGGAGGGGGCAGGTATTCGAAGCTTCATTTCCTCATCTTCATCAAGTGTAAAGCGATGATGGCACGACGCGCAGTTATGTAGCAAGTACACACTTCACACATGTGGAAAAGTTGCGTTCACGGCTGCTGGCACTATTTCTTCCAGATTTCTCGGAAATCCAAGTCCAAGTCAGATATATACGTATGCTTTTTTACCCTCCATGTGTATATACATCGAATCGCGGTTGCAGCTGTTGCAGCAACGCATTCCAGCTCAAAGTGCGCCGTGACGCTTTTTGCTCGACCGCGAGCGGTTGCGCGTTCCTCCGCTCTTCTCGTCCATCCATTTGCCATACCAACTGCTGCAGCTGTGATTGAAAAAAAAAAAAAAAAAAAAAAAAAAAAAAAAAAAAAAAAAAAAAAAAA